CCCGGGCCGCGCACGGTTTAACCCTCCCGCTGCCGCACCGCGTGAGTCGCGCTCAGCTGTGTCCCAGGTGTGAGGCTGGAGAGGGCGGCGGAGGCTGCGCGACTGTCTGATTCCCCGCGTTTTGATGGCGGCCTCCCCGCCCTTTTCCCCCAACACCGTGGGAACCCGTGGTCACCTAAGTGCATTTCTGCGATTCGGCATCTCCAACGGTCTCATCCCTGGTGAAGAGTGCGGAGTGGGGGCCCGGGCAGCGGGGGCAGCGAAGACCTCGCGCCAGCCTTGGATTCCCCCAATGACTGGATCCCGATTCCACTCTGGCCCTGCTACAATGCATTGCCTCACAGCAACCCGATTACCTTTAAAATAAGGAGATCAAGTCGCATTACTCAGCTTATCTGGCAATCGGAATAGCCAAACTCCTTACTGCGGCTTACCAGACTGTATGACCTCGCCCCTAGCTCTCTGATGTCTTTCCCCAACACGTCTTTATGCCCCTGCGACACTGGACCTGATCTGTATTTCTAAAACTAGAGGAGCTTAACTGACCAGGGGGTCTTTGCACTGACTGTTCCCTGTGTCCGGAACGTTCCCCCCTGACTTTTAACAATGACTCACTCTTTTCATTAATATTTCACTTAGATCCAGTGTCACCTCTTCTTGGAGGCCTTTGCTAACCACTCTGTCCAAAGCAGTTTCCCTGCCCTAGCTGGTTTGGCTCAGTGGATAGAGCCTCGGACTGAAGGGTCCTAGGTTCGATTCTGATCAGGGCGCATGCCTGGATTGCAGGCTCAGCCCGCAGTGTGGGGCGTGCAGGAGGCAGCCTATCAGTGATTCTCTCTCATCATTGATGTTTCTATCTCTCTCTCCCTCTCTGTTTAAAAAGTAGCTTCCCCTGCCCCAGCCCAGCCCATTCATTCATTTCTATCACAATCAAGTTTTTTGTTTTAATTTATTTTAGGGCCCCAGCCCAGCCCATTCATTCATTTCTATCACAATCAAGTTTTTTGTTTTAATTTATTTTAGGGAAGGAAGAAGAGAGAGAGATGGGGAGCGAGAGAGAGAGAGAGAGACAGAGAGACAGAGAGACAGAGAGACAGAGAGACATCGTTGCCTCCCGCATCTTGACCAAATCGAACCCAAAACCTAGGTATGTGCCCTCATCAGGAATCGAACCCACAACCTTCTGGTGCACCGGGAGGATGCTCCAACCAACTGAGCCACACCAGCCAGGACCACAGCCCGGTTTTATTCAGATTGCACTTCTAGGACACCACACTCTTGTTTCCCTCCAACCTCGCTGGCTTTTCTTTCTCAGTCTTTTTCTGCTCAACCTCTAAACATTAGAGCTTCTGAGGGCTTAGTCCTTGGCCCTCTTGTCTTTCCACATCCGCTGTCCAATGATGTCATCCAGTCCCAGGGCTTAAACACTATGTAAATGTCAGCGAGCCCTAAATTTATATCCAGAGCTCTAGACTCATTTATCCAACAGCTTACTTGACATCTCCACTTGGATGTCTAATAGCCATGTAAAGCTAATGCAGCTAAAATGCGTCTTGAATTATCTCCTGGCCAATCCATTTTTTCCCTCAGTGTTTCCCATCCACTTCTTCAGGCTAAAAACCTAGGAAACGGCCCTAACCGGTTTGGCTCAGTGGATAGAGCGTCAGCCTGCAGACTTAAAGGTCCCAGGTTCAATTCCGGTCAAGGGCATGTACCTTGGTTGCGGGCACATCCCCAGTAGGGAGTGTGCAGGAAGCAGCTGATGAATGTTTCTAACTCTCTATCCCTCTCCCTTCCTGTCTGTAAAAAATCAATAAAATATATATTTTTTAAAAATTTTGCATTAAAAAAAAAACACTTAGGAAACGTCCTTCCTCCCTTTCCCCTTTCTTACTAATTCCCGCCCTGTATCTAATTCACCAGCAAGTCCTGTGAGTTCTGCATCCAAAATATATCCTGAATCCATCCACTTCTCTCCATATTTGTTGCTCTCACCCTGGTCCAAGCCATCGTCTCTCAACTCGAATAGTGCAATAGCTGCCTAGCTGTTCCCTTGCTCTTCCCTTACCCTTTACAAACTCGTCTTCACAATATTTAGAAATATTTTAAAAATCAGAGTCTTATCGTACTCTTCCGTGCTTACATATTTGAGTGGGGTTTCATTGTGCTCGTGATAAGATCTGACTCGTAGCAGAGCCCATTCACTTGTACTCTCTCAGTGTCAACATGTTCTGCCAGATCGGGCGTCTTGATGTTCTAGAACATCCAAAATCATTCTCTTAGAACCCCTGCACTTTTGATTCCCTCCTTTTGGAATCCTTTGTGTCCCTCTCCCTCTCCTTTTTACCTGGCTGGCTCCCTTTTGTCACTCAGCCACCCACTCTATTTCATCAGTATGTTTCATTGTCTTTCCAACTCATCTCACTCTCTGAAATGATCTTATAGTTGTTTATTGTTTATTGTCTGCCCCACCCCACATACACTAGGGCTTGGCATATACGTAGATGCTCAATATGTATTGCTTAGTGAACTTGACCTGGGACTCCTGCCCACT